GCTCGGCGCCCACTATGACCTGTTCGCGCTTATTTGTACTAATTTGTATAGTACCAGTTTTCTCGCATTGGTTCTCGCAATAAGCGTCAGTCGGCTCGGCTCGGCAACAAGCGGCCACTCTGTTCGCGCCCTTAGGCGGTTACAGCGCCAAAAAAGAGGAAGAAGAAGAAGTAGTCTGTTCCAATAGCAGTCCGGTTTACAGGATTTAGTCAGAACTTACAGGAAGTCGTTCCTATTGACATAAAACCTGTAAGTGGGAACACATTTGAGAGAGTAACTGAGCAACTGTTCCTAGTCAGAAGTTACAGGATTTAGTCCGAAGTTTCTTTTCCTGTAAGTTCATGAAAAGTGTCAAACGATCAGCTGATTTGCTGATTGCTTTTTGCACGGGGTGGAAAAATTTGCTATGGTGTACAAATAAATTGAATTTTGCTGTGCCAAATGCAAAGTAAAATTTTGACAGTTGAAAAACCAAACAAACGCTCGTGCGAAAGCTTTATTTTTGTGTGTTGCTGAAATTCTTAAAATTTATATTTGTTTTATAATTTGCAAATAACGTACGCTTTTTTTATGCTGTTTCAGCTTTCGTTTTCATGTTCACTCCTTATTACCGCCAAGCAATATTATGTGTATACATGGTTATAAGCAGTCAAAATTTTACATGAGCTAGGTAAAATTCTGACGTTCTTATTCACCACGAGAAATGTCAGATTTTTACTTTGATCCGTCAAAATTTTCTTTTTAAGGGCGTGTGTGAATCGGTAGCAAAGTTCTATGGGGAAAGCTGTTGAATAATATTTTTACTATGGTGAGACAGTTTTGCCAATCTGCTGTGTGAAATGAAATCTTTTTTGACAGCAGTAAATTTTTCATAACCGCAGATTTATGCGCAATAAACTATTACAAATTGAGTGAAATTAATATTTTAAGAAAACATCTACCATCATTGATTGCAGTTCATCAACTTAACCTTTTATTTTACGAAAAATTACACACAGCAGCAATCTGCAATTGTCAAAATTTTCTATGCATTTGTCAAAAATTTCACTAGCCCTATGGGCTACTGAAATTTTATTCACCTCAAACTTGTCAAAAATTTACTTGCCGCGAACTTTGTTACCGATTCACACACGCTCTAATTTGCAAATAGCTTACGTATAAACGTAGTAAATATCTGATTTAAAAAAGATTGGCAGCATCGATTTGTAACCTCAAAATATTTTGACGTATTGCATTTGACAGGTAGAAACAAAAAGTCATCTTCGCTTTTTAAGCTATTCTTGTTGGTCATCAAACGATAATTCGTTGTCCAATTCGGAATATTTTTTAATTTATATTTAATTTTCGCAGTCAAATTGAAAGAAAAAACTGCCGCAAAATGTCGATTATGGCTTATAATGGTGGATGTCTTGTCGCGATGCGCGGCAAGAATTGTGTGGCTATTGCAACTGATCACCGTTTTGGTGTGCAAGCGCAAACAATTAGTACAGATTTTGAAAAGGTATTCCAAGTGAATCCTCGCACATTCCTTGGACTTGTTGGATTGCAAACGGATATACTGACTGTGCACGATCGCATCATGTTCCGCAAGAAGTTGTATGAGAATAGAGAAAATCGTGAAATGGCGCCAGAACCTTTCTCTGCAATGATTTCTAATTTCTTGTACGAACATCGTTTTGGTCCATATTTCATCGAACCAGTGATTGCCGGCTTACATCCGAAAACGTTGGAGCCCTTCATTTGTAACATGGATCTCATTGGCTGTCCAAATAAGCCGGACGACTTCGTAGTTGCAGGAACCTGTGCGGAACAACTTTATGGTATGTGTGAAACGTTATGGAAGGAAAATTTAGGACCGGCAGAGCTTTCAGAGGTGATATCGCAGGCTATAGTTAGTGCTTTCGATCGTGACGCTATAAGCGGATGGGGAGCGACTGTTTATATTGTCGAAAAAGATAAGATCACCAAGAAACAAATTAAAACACGTATGGATTAAATAGGAATTTTAACATTTATTGAAAATAAAATGTTTTATATCGTTAAAACTTAACATATGTATGTATGCTAATTTTTTTTGCTTGTATACGGTGTTTGGATTTAATGCCGCAGGAAAAATTGAAAATTTTTTTAGGATATATGGGAAATACGGCTAAGTATTCCTTCACCTTCAAACGCCGGTCAGTACAGAAAAATGTTTCGCACCACAAGTCACTTTAAGTGGAATCAATGACTGAATGAAGGGGTTGTTACAATCTCTATTGGTAAATAGTCTTAATTTGTTTTATGATATCATAATATACATATACATATATCGACACCTTAATATATAAAGTCGGCCGCTGTGGTGTAGTGGTAAGCAGTGCGCGCTTTCACTCGTCGGCACCTAGGTTCAAGCCTTAGTCAAAGCAACATCGCAAAAAAAAGTATAGAAAAAAGGTTTTTTCTTAACAGCGGTCGTCCCTCGGCAGGGAAAGGCAAACCTCCGAGTGTATTTCTGCCATGAAAAACAGCTTCTCATAAAAATACAATCGCCGTTCGGAGTCGGCGTAAAACTGTAGGTCCCCCCGCTTTGTGTGACAACATCAAGGCGCACGCCACAAATCGGAGGAGAAGCTCGGCCAAACACTCACTTATGTGTCAGCGCCAATCTATTATTATTATTATTAATATATAAGGTCCCTAACTCCTTTTCTTTCGAAATAGGGGCGGTAGATTACTCAATAAAATCTTATAGAAATTAGAAACCAGTACTATATAAAAAAAATAGTTTCAGCGTACATTAAAAACAATTTTTGAGAGATCCCCAACTTAAGAACCTTAGTTTTATAAAGTTTTGTAACTCGTCTGTAAAATAGTTTTAGATAGGGCCTTTTTATATTAAGGTGTACTACATTAACATATGCTTTTATTTTACGACTTTTGCTAATATTCAATAAAATCCATACTATTTATCTTCCCATTGCGCGCTTTTCAATGCCATTTGAAGAGCAGCTTCCTTTGTTTTCGCTCCTCCTATGAATCCCGTCGAGTGGACGAAAATTAAATCGGGTATGTCTGCTACTTCCGAGAGCTCTTCATCACGCAAACCACGCCATGGTTGTGGTAGAAACTTTCTACCCAAGAAACTAGTGGGTGATAAGGGAACTCCTGCGACACGCCAACTCTGTGCCTTTTCCGAAAATATTACCAGTTTCGCCACACCTTCAACATTATATTCCTTTTCTAGGTCAGCTAAATGTACTTTCCATGGGCAAAAGCGTTCTAGTATTATAATTTCGCCTGTCTCGTGTACGGATTTAGCTTTCTCCAGAGCTTTGCGTACATACTCTCGACCCCTTACCCATGAACAGGCAACATCTAGAACATTCTCTACAAACTCTTTGCCTACCAGCTCCAAAGCACGCTCAAAACGTTTTTGTTCAATTTCGCTACCCTGTTCATCTTCCCAGGATGGGTTTAGTCTGTGTACCCGAGATGACAGATGTGTTGATATTTTATACAGAGGCTCTCCTACATCATTTTTATACATTGGCACACCATTATCAATAGCGTCCATTTCGCTTATAAAATTCCGATAGATTTGTTTATAGCTTAACTTTAGGTTTTGAGGAGACAATGGTGCTTTCCCATTCTCTTGCAGAACACTTTCAATTACATGCTCACCGTAATAAGCATAAATAAGACCAGCGCTGCTAAGTCTAAAAAATATACATTAGTACACATTCTTGTGATGATCAGCAATATATATTCATACATACTTGATTTTAAATTCATCTCCCAGTTCTGGGCGCAACGTACTGAGCGTTTCTACAAAACTTCTTTGATGGTGATCGTATAATTTTTTCTGATGATTAAATTCACCGCCAACATCTACAATTATATCACATTTCTCAAGTAACATTTTATCGTCACGGCTTCTAAAAATTGACGCGTTTTTATATTCCGGCAGTTGTTTGAGCATAAAGCAAGCCAACACTTCATCACAATGGAATGTGCCACTGTGCGTGCCAATTACTGGAGCATCGCTGCGAAAACGTTTAGTACCATTCTCACTTGGATTTGATTCGCTGTTAGAAGTCATTCTTTTGAAAATCCGCAGCGAAAATTTTTGGATGCGAAAGCGATGATCTTTATAAAATACAGAATTAATTATTTTGAGAAGATAAAATAAAATTGTTTACCTTTTCCCCAAACGCTCCTTGCAGCAGAGTAGAACAAGACGCACGTGAAACGAATTGCTGTCATTTTGATTAGGTAGCGTTGCCATGCAAGAATGATAGAATCTCAATCGTGGTTGCCATGTACTTAAGAAATTAATACATTTATAAAATATGGCACCTGCATACAGTGGGTAGCATGATAAAAATATAGTAAGGTAGAACCGCTGAGAGTCACTTTTAAAATTCTTGACGTTTCCAAACAATTTAATTTTTAAATTTTCTCACAAACTCACACACACATTTTCATTTTCAATCTCAGGCAACAACAATTTCGAACAATTTCAATTTTTTATTTTCACTTTTATATGATTTCAAATGCTGGCAAACTTAAAAAAAAAAATCATGGCCGACAAATTGAGAGAACGGTTCTACCTTGCTATGTTTTTATCATGGTGGGTAGCATGATTCAATAATACAAGGTTCGATAAACTGACAGTTGTCTCTCTCGCACCGCTCCCTTAGCAGTGGCACCGTGTTGCTTCTTTGCAAATTTACATGGAAAGAGTGTAGCTTTGGTGTGAAATAAAAGTATAAGCTTTTGTGCAGTATGTTTATTTGTATATGCATATGAAGCATATTTAACTGATGAAAACCTAAGCATTGGTGGTTTACATCAATCTCATAGTAGTCTTATTTTAATTTTGAGTCATTTTGCAGTTTTTATACGGCTAAGGGCCGGTTGCTCAATGTCTGGTTAACACTAACCTGCGGTTAAACATGGTTATCGACGTCTTCGATTCTATGTATATAACAGGGAGTCGGTAACGTCGATAACTATGTTTAACCGGAGAATAGTGTTAACCAGACATTGAGTAACCGGCCCTAAATTGCATATAAATTACGTATTTCACGTAGATATATCAATATTACGTTTAAAATGCCAGATTTCCTGCAAATACATTAGAATTTACAAAAGGAATTTCACTACTAATTGCCTACTTTGTGTACTTGTCTACTACCATTTTCGAAACAAGGGATTGCATTCTTGCCCTTTCTCTGTCCTTCGCAAATGCAACCTTTTGTAAGGGAGTGTCAAACCGCAGCTGTCAATAATTATCTAACCTTGTATTATTGAATCATGGGTGGGTAGCATGAACGAAAGACACAAGATCACGTAAGAACGAGAGAGTGAAAAAAGTCGACTTTTTTAGCGGATTCTACGCAAGGCGCATCAATTACAGGTGATAGCGATAGAAGCTATGCTTCTTCTTATGAGCACGCTTGTGTCAAATTATCGTCTGTTTTGCTTTATTTACATATCCGCGTATACATACACATATACGTATATATATACCCTGCAAACACATGCTCCCGAAATCTTTAAAGAGTGTCGGGAATTTGTTACAATTCTTTTAGAAATCTGTAAAGAAAAACATATGAAGCCATTGACAAGAACTAGTAAAGAAATTTCTTTATGATTTCTTAAAGAAAATTCATAAACAAATTGTGAAACCTTTCAGAACTCTATAAAATCCTGGTATGCAGGGTATACATATACACACGAATATGGATAGATAAAGAAGATGTTGATGACACAAGGAGTTCATACCAACGGTAAATGTTGTTTTTGTACGATTGCTACAACCTGTAGTTGTTGAATCATGATTCTACGCCATCTTGTTTCATTGGAAAACGAGCGAAAAGTAAACAAAGCAAAGAAAACAACGAAAACCAAAATTAGCCAAAATTATTGTCAGCCACTTTAAACGCACAATTTAGGTAAAATGATGCAACAAAATGCTTTAAAATGTGTTGTCATGTTGAATTAACTATTCTTTACTTGAATAAAAGTGTAAAATAGGGTGCTTGTGATGTAAACAAACGCTCAGCTGACGAACCCGCTTTCACAAACTTTTTTCTCAAAACCAGTTACAAATACAACGTCGCCTTCTTACGTGATCTTGTATTTTTGGTTCATGGGTGGGTAGGGTTTACGCAGGGTTGCTTTTAAGCAACAAAAAATAATTAGCTCCAAATAGTTTCCAAAAGTATAGTGTAAAGCGAAGCGCACATTGGCGCGATTCTGTCGCTGCGAATTTTTCGAACATTCAATGTTCCTCTCTATTGACGCGTTCGAAACGCGGCTTGCAGCGTTTTGAAGGCGTCAAAGAAGAAGAAGAAAGGTGTCACAGCAATAAAGGCAAAGAAAAAAAAACGTGTAATGTACAAAAACTAATAAAAACGTTCGTAATAATAGTATTTTGTACGATTTGGGCACGCCGAGTGCGAAAATACACGAAATAAAGGGAAAATTGAGTGAATTGTACATCGGAAATCGACGCGAAAAAATCGCTCAAGTGTGCGCACGTTTGCGGATTCGAAGTTAACAGCCGAATTCGCAACGTATTCGCAACGATGGAATCGCGCTAATGTGCGCTTCGCTTTAAACGAAGTTTATTGAATAATTCCACATAAAATGGTATACATAAATGACTCATTTTCTAAACGATTTAAATAAAACGCATTTCATAACCTTTTTTGTGCAAACGGCATTTGCGAGTTGATAGAAAAGTACTACGGATTGTAAATTTTTGTTAACTATGAGGTGAATGAAAATTTTCAACCCGGCCTGACGGTTTTGAAGAATTTTTTTGTTCTAATTTTATTACTAAGGCGTCTAATAAATGCATAGCTTTTAGTTCTAGAAGAATAAAAGTCAGTAAAGACAAGTCTTTTTTGTATAATTTCTGATTTTAATTGCTCAACTTCTTTTGCACTAGAACAACTGTCAAAATGTTTCAGCAGTAAAAAGTTACGAATTGGGACAGCAGAAATGTAAAATTTTCTCGCCATAATAAAAAGTTTTTTCAACATGAAACCTTTCCATGAACCAACGACTACAGATCACCTAATCAGCCATCGTTGTATTTGTAATCGATTTTCAGAAAAAAGTTTTCGTAGCGTTTTTGACGTTTTTCGGTTTTGTTTACACCGTCTTCTACCTCTTCGTAGCGATTGAATGTGTTTTCTGCAGCGATTTTAATTATAAATTTTGGTTTATNTTTTTTAGCGATTGAATGTGTTTTCTGCAGCGATTTTAATTATAAATTTTGGTTTATTACATATTTATGATATAAAATAAAGTGCTGTGTGATCGGAACAAGTTTGTGCGTATGTTTGGTTTGCCAAAAGGCGTAAATTTGCGTGAAAAGTGGGTGCACGTTTGTGGCCAGAACGTTGGCATTGAAAAATCGACCCGTGGTAATGATATGCGATTGTAAAACACTTTCAATCATGAAAACCATATTTTATGAACTTTTTTTGCTAATTGTCATCAAGTTTCACTTTGTATATTTTATAATAAATACCAATTTAATCGCACTCAATCACCGCGCCTTTTTCGTTTTCTTTGTTTGTTTTCATTCTTAGGCAGATGTCAAAAACACTCAGAAATATACTTTTTTCTTGCTTCTTTGATTAGGTGATCTTGTATTTTTGGTTCATGAAACCTTTGTACTAATTGACATGAAATTACTATCTCAACGCTCGGAGCGCTGCCACTGAGGGCCTTTGCCAACTGATAAAAAAGAGAAAATTTAGAAAGACCAAACAAAAATTTTGAGATTTCTCGTTGTCAATATGAATGCCATAGTTTTTACCTAGCTCGTGGGACTATGCAAAATTTTGACAGCTTGTAAATATGTATACACATAAAGTTGTTGGCGGTAATAAAGAGTCAAAATCAAACTGGAGAAAAGAACAAAAAGCGTACGTTAGTTGTCAGTTATAAAATAAATCCAATTTATTTGCGAATATTTGTTTATTCTAGTTATTGAAAGGCAACCACGCGGAAAAGCTTGTGTTAATTATATTGATAACAGAACCTGGCAGCTCAGCCCGCACGTTGTCTAAATTCTCAAGGAACATAAAATCCACAAAAGAACAAATTGCTTGTATTACCATCAATACGCCATGTATAAATTTTAACAACACACAAAAATAGAGCTTTCGCAATAGCGTTTGTTTGGTTTTTCAACACCATTTATAATTTTCTTTTAATAAAATCACGTTTTGTCAAATGCTTAAATTTATTTATCTAATAATAATGCAGCACACAACCCTGAAATCTAAGAAAAAGTCTGAGGAAGGCCATTAAATAGCAGCACACAACCCCGTGCCTTCCTCAGGAGTGAATATAACTACAACAACAACGATTACTACAACAACAACCCAAAAAGGTTGGTTACTGTCTATCCTGTGGTCCATTCCATAATTTTTCCAGTAAGTAATTGCAGCGAGAGCGTAAAAGATAAAGAGTAAACTTGATATCAAGAGAAAATTTTCAGAAAAAGTTATTGAACGCAAAACTAGTAAAAACATGCAACTTAGCCATTTTGACACTTTCTGACGGTTAAGTTTTGCGCGCAATTTTCTTTTTAATTCCCATCGTCATAAAAATAAAAAAATATACAAGAGATTTAAATTTTTCATCCATATCTTCATTTCACTAATTATGTTTCATCAAATCATCCTCTTAAACAGTTTGTTTACATTTGAATTTGAAACATAACCTTACTTGTTGACTCCTGCAAATTCCTGCTAGTAAAATTTTTACTTGCAAGAATTTGCAGCTCTCTCGGGTTGTTACGCTCGAATTCGATCTCTCTTGCAAATATTTTGTGTTCAACGTTGCCATTTTAGCCGTTTTCCGGCTAGATTTAGCCGGTTGCGACAGCAAACAGCCGGAAAAAATTCGATTTAGCCGGCAGCCGATTTGTTAGCCGTTTTGCAAAAAAAAATTAGCCGTTTTTAGCCGATTTTGCTCTTCGTCTTATTTTATTAAAATTCAAATTCACAAGTTTTTATTTTTACAAATTTAGTGCTCCAGAATCTATTAGAAATGGCTAGTCTTATGACAGAAAATTTTCATGTCGGACTGTGTTATATAAAATTGAAAAACAATCAGATAGTGAGCCGATTTCAATGTTTTTTGTTTTAAGCGAGTGACCCAAATACACATAAACTGGGACGCGTCATTTTAGCAGATTAAAAAGTTACAAGTTTTGCTGAAATTTTGCAGAATTTTCATAATTTTTACACCAAGTGTGAAATCTGTTTGTAGTA